AAATGTCTGGCTCAGAAAGAAGAGAATGCCAAAGAACAGACTAAGCGAAGCACGAGAAAAGGATAATGGAAAAACAGAAATACAGTAGATGGATTGTAGTTTTGGAATACAATTCTTGAAATGTGCAGAACACTTTAAGCAGCCAAAAACTTCCAAAAAAGAAAAATGAAGATGTGAGAAAAGTATTACTGTTCCTAAAGTTCACTTGGGCCCCAAAATTCAGACACAAGGTTAAAAAAGTACTGTGGGAATCCTAACCCTATCCCATTTCCCCCAGTGTTTGTCACGCACATACCATGGACAATCTGTCAATATTGGATCAAACGCCATTAGTCATGGAGAATCCAGAACCACTGTGGGAAGGCCATGACCTCCCTTGCTGTTTTGATTCCTTTGCAGTGTCTACCCAGAGACCTCCTCTGCTATATACTATGAATGTCTTGAAGTTAATAAATGGCTGAGCTAAATGATTTAGCTTTCTAAGGCTAAACAATAGGAGGCTAACTGTCCTTTACAAAAGAGAAGAGAAAAAAAGAATTCCCTTACCAGGTAAATTTAAATCCTCTTTGTAAAAACACAAAAAAGAGCTAAAACTAAATTTATTGTGGGTGTACAGTGTGGTCGAAAAGAAAACCCTCTTAATATTTTATTAGTTTATAGTTTGACGTTCACCAAGTCCTCACCACAACTTAACAATGGACAAAATTAACCTTATTTGACAAATAACACTCAACATTTTTACTTTATCATTATTTTTAAATAATAGCGTCACTATTATTTAAAACAACAGCCAGCATTCAGTTTGTGTGAAAACGTAAGTGCTCCATTAGTTATACCTTCGCGATTAAGAGAGTATGTAGAATCAGACATACAAAACGTGCAAATGATAAGCTGGTCATCAGGAAGTGATTTTCACCTGTATATAAAATCAGAAACTATCAATTTGGTCTTAAACACTCAGGTTTGCGGTAACGCACCATACCCAGATCAAAAGAAATCAGTGACAGTCTCAGAGAAAGAATTGTTGCTTAAATAACAACATGCCAAACAACATGAAGTTAAACATTTCACAGTACGAAGTGGAGAGTATTTGAGACCAAGGAGTTCTTTGGACCAAATTCTCTCCAAGATTTGACAGTCTGATGCTCCTAAATGTCTAAAAGAATGTTCCATCCAGGGATGTACAGGCCTCTCTCGCTGTGGTAAATGTCTTAGTTCACAAGTCCATCACCAAGGCCAGGAGGAGACCCATACACTCCAAGAAAAACATTACTACATGGCCCACATATTCAACACAGCACTTGCATTAATGAAAGACAAGACTTCTGAAAGAATTAGCTCTGGACACATGAATTAAACTGGAGTTATTCATGTTTTACAATGCAAAACGTCATGTTTGATGAAACCCAATCACTGTCTCTCACCAGAGGAACCTGCTAAAGGAGGTACCACAAGTTACTGAATGAGGATGTTGAAAAAGTGGCTGATTTTGGCTTTAAATAATGACAAAGGAAACTTGCACAACATTGTACAGTGTTTTTCAATATTCTGCTTTACGTAAATAATGGCCACCATCAGCAAATCATAGAAGACTAAAGAATGGAGACTAGTTTTCTACTTCAGACTTTCGAAATAGAAAAACAAAAACAAAACCCCCTCTTTTTGTGTATTTTCCACACAATTTTCACTGCTGCTAAATTTGCAGTTTTAGGAGTCAGTCTCTTTTGAGTCACTGGACTCAGCTTTAGTGTGATATAATAATACTTTGAAAATGCCAAAACAAAGACCTTACTGAATGTGAATCCATATCATCATGTATCTCTCCTGAATGCAGATGTCAAAATTCTACCCGGTGAAAAGGCTAATCAATTTACATTAGCTCGTCTCTAGACCCAACTGCGATTGTACAGCACAGAATATATGGTATGTAGAGTTACAATATTCTATAATCATGTTTGTTTTCTTGTATTATTAACCGGAGGAAAAGGTAAATATGTGTTCCACAGTTATGAATGCTAACCACCGGTTCATCATGAAAAAATGAAAGATACTCATTTTTTAAGCACTGCAAATCATTCTCTAAAGAAGAGAACATCTGTTATAAACCATTAATATGATTTAAAAAAGTTTTCAGGCAGCGTTCCTACTTCTGCTTTCCACCACACCTAGTAAATACATGATTATATATTTACCAACTTCTGTGTTCTAAACATTCTATTTAATGTTATCCTAAGTAATCTGTTCTGCTTGTTCCTTTAAAAAACTTTTTGCAGCCACAAAGAAAAACTGAGAAGATCATGATTGGTTGGAGTGGTTAACGTATCACTGTTGACCACTTGGAAGATACACTTCACTCACTCTTAATCAACTTGAAGATGAACTATAAGAAGCTGGTATCAAAGAAGGACCACTTCTCCTGCCAAGTGGATATTTTTTTTCGGTACATACTAGAAAGAGGACACTTTTACATTCAATATGTTGACCTTGTTCTTTGGAACATTTCATGTAAAGCCAAAATGTTTTACATGTATGTGGCAAAATTATTTCTTCAATTCTGTCTAATATTTAACTGATTGTTTCAGTGAGGTATACCAGTGGTTCTCCAACTATGGTGAGCGTAGTCTTCCTACTTTAAACTACAGTTCTTTCACTTTACACAATGCTAAATTACTTTTTAAAATCCTTCCAGCAGTGGTTCAATCATTGCAACCAGATATCTTCACTTTACTCCAATCTTACGTTCGTAGGTGGTTTAGATTTCTCAATCTTTCTCTGAAGGACCTACTTAAAAAAACAATTCAGCATTCAGCATGTTTGTTTTCGGCGTGTTCCAATTGAGAAAACGTATGATGGAGAATGTGGTTTCTTGAAAAGCAATGATATCTTAAGCAGAGCTCTTCTGTGTAAGCATCATCATGGAAGTACTGTATCTGTCGTCTTCAAACCTTCTGAAAACTTCTGGCCACAATTGTGGAATAAAACTTTTATACTGATAACTCAAAAATATTTTTTGAAAGAAGATGCTACACTGGAGCACCTTAAAAATAAGGGAGTCAATATCCTTGAATGGCCAAGTTAAAGTCCTGACTACTGAGAATCTGCAGAAAGACTTAATAATTGCTGTTCATAAGTGACACCCAAGCAACGTGAGAGAACCTGAGCATAACTGCCAAGAAGAATGGGCGAAAATTGCATCAAGCCAGTGTGTAAGGCTGATTGAGACTTACCCAAAATTACTGTACCTGCAAATGCAATTACTATTGTTACCAAAGTTGCTTCCAACAAATATTGACTTCATGGATTTGAATTCTTATGCAATTAACATGCAGTATTTCAGTGTTTTCTCCTAAGGTTTAGCTGTCATTTATTGTTATCTTACCCTTAGAAGTGTTCAGTTTGGGCATTTGAATAAAACAGAAACTTTAATAAATGTGTATTCATCATTTTATAATTTCACAAAATGGGACACCATATGAAGTGTCTGGATACTTTTGCAAGGCACTGTAAGTTAAATCTAAGCCTACAAATTATATGCCCTTTTGCTTTATTTTGGTTTTTGAAAGTAAACTACCCATTCTCTAAATTAACTTCTGTTTTGCTTTATTGGTCTTTATCTCAGTTATTACTAAATGTATCCTATGCCTGAAAAAAAAAAGAGTCATTCTTTGATTATCTGTGCAATAGTTCAGAGGTGTTTTTTGGTGATATTTATTTAATTATGATTAAACATAGGTTATACATGATGATTAAAATGTTTTACACCATTTTGTGAAAAAACATCATTCAACAACTGTTTAACACACAGAAACATCACATGGGGGACATGCTTGGACAGTATCTTTTGAAAACATTAAAATCAAAGCACAAAGAACTTATGTAACATGTTTTTCACATCATATGAAGGCAAAATCATCTTCCACACAATATTGGTCAATATAAACAAAACTTTTAGAATTAATCATAATCATTGATTATTGAGAACCCAAAAAACAAATCTAACATAACATTTCACACATCAATTATGCAAATGTACTTAAACTTTACACAATTGATGTATTTTTTATATTAAGTGCACCTTTATGGAAAAATGATTTCAGTAATAAACATTTAAAAGATCATGGTGTCCACCTGCAAGCTTTATTTCAAGCTTTACACCCTTAATATAATTAATATTAAATATTAATAACTGATAAAAAACACAAATAAATAAAACACAAAATAATCCCCTAAACAACATTTTTTGTTCATCTTGAGAATTCAAATCCTCCAAACTGAAACATATTTCTACTAATATGTGCATGAAACTTAATTGAAATGCATACAGGTTTATGCAAATAAATTGCATGACATTCAAGAAGAGAACTATGACATCAAAATAAGATGTGGAATCCTCACACATGCAGTTTACAATGATATTCAAAGAATGTAAAAACAGTCATCAATATGACAATGTGAAGCAAACATTATCTGCTCACAGCAGATTTTTAGTATCATTTGCATCTTCAAATGTTTAACCTTCAGAAATGAATGTGCAGTTAACTTTCTTCAGGAAACCCAGCCCTGTCGCCCAATTTGTCATGGTTTCAGAAATCGTTTAACCCAAACTGCAATCTGGAAACGGTTTTGAGTTGACACTTTCTATTCAGGCACCATATTGAATAAGTGAGCTTAGATGGTAACAATGTCACTGATTATCCAAACATTAAGCAAAATTGAAAAAAGACACTTCAAATTAAAATAATTTTCCTTGATTTAAAGAACAGACTCAAATGCTAGATTATTATGGTTATTGCAGATACTCATATTAGCAACACATTTGCACATTACAAGTATTCTTTACAAGATTTTCACAAGCTTCCTAAATTCACAACAAAAACTTTTAATACTGTTGATCATAATTAATATAATGGTTAAGTCCAATGTTTTACAACTACTATCATGTACAGGACAGCCTAGAATTTGTACAATGAGTTAATAAATAGAAAATGAAACATAGTCACCATGACATCACTCTTCCATGACTGAGTTTAAGTCACCTCAATAGCAGAACTAGCCAAAGATCACCCACGGCACAACTGCGTACCAGAAGCATGCTGTTGATTTGCTAATAGTACATTAAAGTACAACCTGCGTTTAAATAGACTATACAAGAACAACAGATCACCGATAAATCAATGCAAATTCTCAATGATTAACTTTAAAATCCCAGATTGTTTTGTCATGTATTATAACGTGATATGAATATATAAATAAAATATCTTAATTTAATGTTGGCATTCTGTAGAAGAACAAAATGCAAAAACGACGCCAATCCAACCAATATTGCTATTTTAACCAAATATTTTAACCAATATTTCCAATCGATCTCTTATGGTATGCGCACCGCTCAAATGATCACAACGTCTGTAGCTATTTGCCATGTATGAGCCTGTTTAGCCATCTGTCATCTTGCTACTTTGTCACGACTTTCCCAAGACTGACGGGAGAGTTTACGCCGTCAGATGCTGTCGCCAACTCTATTTCGTCGGGCCTGTTTATAATGAACCCAATTCAAAGTAGCTGGAGACACATAAACCCAAAAAAGCTTCATCTTCACACTACCTACAAGGGCTGGCTGGTCTCGCCTGCTCAAGAGGGCTCAGGACACTGGTTTTTCCATAAACGGAGACCTCCTCCTACTTCCTAATCCCATTGTCTGTCAATATTAAGAAGTATAGCCCCTGACAGGGTTTTACAGTACCTCGTAAAGGTCTCCTGAAGCCATGCTGGGTTGCGGAACTGGGGCTGAGCTATGTGCTCGCCTGGCTTGCTGGCTTTTTTAGCTCTGAGTATCTATAGGAGTAGAGCCCCAATAGACTGGTATTAGCAAACTGCCTTGTTATTCCGAGCCAGCCGCAGAGGAGATCAGCAGACAGCGTCAATCGAGCCCGGCTGCGATAGATCGCTCTTCTGCTAAAACAAACAAGTAGGGGGAGATTGGGGCGGTGCTGTTTGTACTGTACGAATTGGCTTACTGAAATTTTACAACCTAATCATCTGTGAAATTCATTTCCCTCCCCCATGATGCTTTTTTTTTCCAGATAATTTATCCGACCTAAGGTAGTCCAAGCAAATTGTCTCCATTGCCATTACTATGGGAGCGATATCAAAAGACCCGTTGGTTTCTATTTATTTTATTATTTTATTAATTGTTTGCTGTGGTTGAGTAGATATCGTGTAATTTTAGGACTGAAATTGTCTTTTCTCTACATTAGCGCTTCAACCATGTCATGTCATGTTCACACAGGTTCAAGAGTAATTAAATGAACCTGCTAACTCAACATACGTGACGCCATGACTTCTCTTCCCAGCATATCTACAATTTTGTCAGCCGGCTATTTAACTTAAGATTGATTGCATTTTGTAAGGTGGTATTTTCGTTCGTTCTTCTTAATGATATATTTCGAATGTAAAGTCTTGTCTTGCCTGCAATGAATCTGTAACAAACGTTGTTGTTATAGATTTATGCTGCAAAAGTAAACAAAAAAGTTCATTATCATTTATTTTTTCCTTATTGTCATAATAATGAATTTCTTTATTAAGTACTGTAGGTGATGTAATTATTTCTTTCAAAAACAGGAATTTATTTTAATGGAACGTTTTATTAACAATTTCTCTTTGCTGATTTTTTAAAATTCTATTGCCTCGTTAATATTTATGTGGAGAACAAATTACAGCATGAAAAATGCTCAGCTCCTCATTTTGTAATGTTCCTGCCTTTTTTCTATGATAGCACATACATTTTATAATTAATGTACTCAATAAATATCTTATATATTTGTGTGTTTTGTTCAAAATGATTCATTTAGTTCTCCCACAATTAAATTATCATACAGTACTTTAATATAAATATTTGGACAAACATTTTACAAAATAAATATAAATTTCTTCCAAGATCGCTTTTGACAAAAAGAGAAGTCTTAACCTTTAATTGAAACTAAAGACTAATTTAGATAGAATTTAAGTTTCAAAATAGTTTTATGCTCTACTAAAACATTTTAAAAGAAAAGCCACATATAGAACTGATTTTAATACCCATAATTGTTCATTCCAAGTGGTAGGAATTCAAGATTTTTGAAAAATTATTACAATTAGAGGATGTTAGAGGTTTTGTTTTCTTGTTTCTCAATTTTTAAAACAAATAGCAATATGAAAAGATACTTATTTTAAAGAAAATATAAAAATACAATATATAAAAATAAAGCAAAATAAAGAATTGACTGATACAATTTGGATGAAATTCAGGTATTTTATGATTCAACTTTTCAGTGGTATTAGTTCTATAAAAAATACAAATACGGTACTTACAAATACAGAAAACAAAACTGAGGACCATTTAAAGACACCTTAAAGTGCATGTCCTTTTGAAAAGCTTTACAGGTTGTTCACTGAACCAGGTTCAATTTGCTACATTATTCAATTGCTGTCCTCCCATGATAGGGCTGAGGTGACGCTAATTCCAGTGTATGGACTAATATATTGCCCGTCAGTGAATGTATCTGTAATTTGTAAGAAGGCTCTGTCGCCTTGAGCCAGGCCCATCTATAGCAGCTGTTAGAGGCTCTGGGCTTTGGTTGCCAAGGAGACAGTACAACATGGGAGGAGTGATTCATAAAATATTGTTTAAAAATGTTAGAGTGTATATCATAAAATTTTAAAATATACTATGTTGTGATGAAGGAGCACAATCCAAAACCCATTGATGAAATGATCATCAAACTTCCCATTGCATGAGTTTTTTTTAATCAAATATATGAATGGACATCTATGCTACAGTATTTTAAACTGCTGGCATAACATACAGTAACTGAAAAGTGAATGCCACATTTTTGTATTAATCTTAATTTTTAAGATTTTGTTTTATTAGACAAGAAGATTTTTTTCTATTGTAGTATATATTTATATCATACAGTGTGTGTTATTTTTATAATATATTTCTTGCAAAAATATATAGTTGATAACTACCATTAACTACTATTATAACTGCCATTTTGTCCATAACTCAAACCAATTTAGTGAATTTCTTTCTAAATTCATTTTCCAAAAAACAGTTTATTACTTTCAAGAATTTCAGGCAGTAGTAAACCTAAAAATAAATGTTTAAATATTTGAAAAAAAAACAAATGAGATTGTTTTAAAACAGGATTGTTCCTGCAAAAACAAAGCAATTTTAGAAAGCAGTTAGTTGTACTGTACGTATGTGAAAATATGTACTTAAAAATACAACTTGTTTTATTGTCATTTATTGATGTATTTCTTCATGAATGAAACATACTATGTGCAAAAATGTGTATGTTATATGTAAAAGCCTGCATGGAAATTAATCTTAGTGTTAATAAGTATGTGATAAGCAAATTTTCATAGCCATATGGGATTACCCTTCTAACCATATTATGGAATAACATTCCATAAAATGTAACATTTTGGCATAGTACTCTAACACACAGTTAAGTATTCTGAGATCATATTTATTTCAAGTATTAAAATTAAATTTCAGGCTAAATTTAGTCTTTAGTCTTTTCCTTCATCGCCTTTACATTTGATGCTGATGTGACATAAGATGAGAAACACAAAAATGTGTAAACCAGTTGTCTTTGTATCTTAATTGGATAAAATTAACGAGGTACTGAATACATGTAGATATAGGCCTACAATAAAGTACAAGACACCTGAATGATGATTCAATACAATCAACACAACTTAATACATCAATACCTCTACTCTTTTACCACTGCAAATGTAGGCACATGTAGACCTCATCCAAAGAGTAGCATCCTACAGCGGAGTGATCGGAGTCCCCATTCTGAGACCCTGCTTTAGATTTTCTGCTCTACAGGTAGGAGATCTCTGTGTGGACCCACCAGTGCCAGCACCTGCAGCATCAACCTGTTTTTCCTTCCATCTGCATACCAAGAAAAATTAATGTTACCCAGGATTAAAGCTCCCTCTCTCAAACACAGATGGCCACAGCTGAATGGAAATCAATTTCTCTGTCCTAACAATGCATGACTTAAATAAGAGAAAACAACATTTACCACAAGATTCCACAATATACTGTAATAAGAAGTCAATTTCACAAAGTAAAAAAGACTGCAAGCGGTCTTATAATAATTTCCAATGCTCCAAAGCTTTGGATAAAAAGGATGATGGATGATAATGTTCCACTTTCACTTCTTTTGTCTGTTCCTCTCGTCTGTTCTTATCAGTCTTGTCTATTCCTATAGTCTCAATATAGTCTTCCTATTGGCTCAATTACCTCCCTAGGAATGCCCCATCGCTGTTAAATATTTATTGCTTAATATAGAACTCCTAATGATTTAATGTGATATTAACTAATTAGTGTAAATCATTAGGAGCCCCTTCAATAATCTCTCTTACTATATATAACGTACCCCCTAGATCAAGGACAGCAGGGTAAATACAACAAACTATTCACTTTGTTTGTAGTGAGTCCTCTGAGAAGGGCAATCCAACTGAGAACTGCAAACATTGCTAACACTCCTTAAACTCAAATTAATCCCCCCAGTCATAATACTTTTTCATCCTTTCAGCAGCTACCACCAAAACACAATTTATACCCTTTTAAATAGTTGGTGAATAAATGTGTCTCTGTTGCCACAGTTACCCTCCATGTCTCACATTGACTTTACATTTATAAATAATCTAGAGTGCAGTATCACAATATAAAAAAATGATATCATTAAATAATATTGTGCTAGTATACATTTGTCATGATTGTAGTCCCTCCACCTTAAGGGCACTCCGGCTCTTTCACTTTTGAGTTGATTTTGTGCTCCTGCTTCCTATCCGTCCCACCTTAAAAGCCAGACGCTCACTCTGTTCCGGGCTCTGCATTGGTTCTTGTACCAAGCGAGTCTCAACGTCTAGTCCCGGTCCCTCCTTTTCCCCCCGACCCTCCACTGGCTCCCGCTCTGGTTTTTAATCCTGTTTGTCCTCGTCTCAGATGGACCGCCCGGCTTTGGACCTTTTGCCTTCCTCTTGGATTTCCCATTGGACTCTGATTTTAATTGTTTGCCCCAGACTCACCCCCCCTGAACACCTGGGCACCATGGACACACCCCTGTTTTCATTCCCGACTCCCGCATGCTTTTCCGCCCGTGTTTTCCTCACTCTACCGCGGATTGTGTCGTCTGCATAGGGTCCGGAAAGAACGCTTTCATGACAATATTGCCCTTCATTGACTATACTATGGGTGGCTTTGAAGTAAGATTCGTTTCAATTATACACAAGAACACATGGGAACACATTTATTTTTGATGAGATTGCATACCTGTGCCTGTCATTCAAATCACGAATTCATATGTCACAAATGAAGATGGCCCAACTTTACTAATGTAGACACTACATGAAACGGTAATCATCGAGGATCAGCTTTACTGCTAGACACATTTTAATCCTGTCCCAAATTAGCCCTATATGGAAAACTCTTTTTAAAACTGCTTTTGCCATATTTAATGTGCTTATAAATCCCATACCTCTTGTTGTAGTCTTTGGCGTTGGTCTTTGGAGATGCCTCTTTCTTAAGTTTTGTTGAACACGTTTTGTATCATTACTGACACATCTTGTTGTAGAGGAGACATGAGTCCAGAACGTCTCATCCTTAATGGTTCAGAGATTCACCTTATTTTCTCAAATTGAAGAAAATTAGATCCACTCACTGATCAATTTCGTATT